CAGCGTTAAATTTGGTTTAAAATAAAGGATTTGAATTTAAAATGTCTCCGTTATCCCTGATCTAGAAGGTTCTAAATTCAGCAGAATCAATGAAAAGAAAACATTGATTTTATTTTGTGTTTACAGAAGGATCTGTTTGGACTTTAAAATAAAAATCAAATAACAAATGAATACAAATATAATAAAACAAAACAAATTAATTAGCAAATACATTTACTAAGGTGAAAAATGAAAGGAATTAGCTGTTGAAAAAACACTGGATTTGTTGGTTGAATTTATTTTATATTGTATTTATGTATTTTTAAAAAACATAAAAGCAGAAAGCAAATATGTATTTTTTAATATTTTTCTGCATGTAATAATTGCCAAAGGTTGTATTTCTGTGATCAGGTGGATTTCAGCCTTTTCTTGCTGACTCTGCTCTCTGCCTGATCCTGGGATGCTCTCCTCTCTCTCTGCCTGAGCTCCGCCTCATGTTGCTGCATGCTTGTTTATCTGAGAACAACCTTCCAGGAGCTGCTTCTCCTTAAAGCGACACCATCTTAATGAATCACTCTGAACCAGGAGCAGCAGGAGGAGCAGCAGGAGGAGCAGCAGGAGGAGCAGGAGGAGGAGCAGGAGGAGCAGGAAGGATGCAGATGAGGAGCAGCATCCATCCTCCCTCTGCCTCCCTGATCTCAGCGCCTTGCAGGAAGATGAGTAACCCGTCTGTAATCTGAGCCGCCATGCCTGGAGGAGAACCCTCCTCCCCTCCTGCATCTCCATCCTACAGGACGCGTGGAGCGCGCGTGCGTCACGCCTGTTCCTCTGCAGATGAGGCTCCAGATTCGGAGCGTCCGTGAAGCGGCTGAGTCTCCTGTGCGGCCTGCATCCCCGCAGCTTCATCTGTGAGGTAACGCTCCCCCCCTCCCCCCTCCCCGCATGAACCTCTGACAGACGCCTTTCCGTCCTCGCTGCGCCGCAGACGCGGTGCCCTGATGCGGCGCGCTGATGCGGCGCGCCTGGATGCCCGCCTTCCTCGCCGCCTCCCGGTCTCTCGCTGAGGCTGTGATCCGGGGGAGCGGCTGCCCGCGGCGCGGCAGGATGGTGCGCATCGCCAGCGCGCTGGGGCTCATCATCTTCAGCCTGGCGCTGCTCATCCTGTCGCTCATCAGCTACGTTTCCATCAAGAAGGACTTCCTGCCCGGCTCCGCCAGATACGGACCCAACGGGGGGCCCAGGATGTACATGTTCCACACGGGGTTCCGGTGAGTCCAGGCCCGCTGCTCTGATGTGCTGAGGCCTCTCTGCTGGGGGAGGCCTCCTCTGAAAAAGCAAACATGACTCATCATTTCACAGATGCTCACAGGTGCAGACTGTGCAAAAGTCTTCAATCATCCCTCACAGTTTGTTTTATTCTCTTCCTTTCTATGAAAATCCTCCAATTATTAAACTGATAAACAGAAAAAAAGATCGCAGGTGACCCACCCAGGCTACCATACTTTGCATTTCATTGGGATTATCTGAGATGGAACAAATCAAAGCTCTGCACATCTATCAGCAAAAAAAAAAAAAAAAAAATGCATTTCATTGGGATTATCTGAGATGGAACAAATCAAAGCTCTGCACATCTATCAGCAAAAAAAATTAAAATAAATCACAAGTAAAAGCTGAAAAGTGTGGCAGGGATTTGAATTTTTATTCTGCCCTTTTTGCTCTAAACCCTGAAGTTAAAGACTTAGGCCGTTTCTCACTATGTGCACTTGTGCGTTCTCGTGTCCTCGTGAAACGTCATCATCCTCAGCCCTATTCCAGTTCACTAGAACAGCAGACCGAGAACGAACAAAGTCCCCGGATGTTGTTCTGGCCCCTCCCTCTTTACCCAGCATGCACTGCAGCAGCAGCAGCTTCCAGGTTAGCGCTCACAGAGCTCAGAGGATTAAGTCAAAAGTTCTCTTTTCTGTTGCTGTTGTTCAATAAAAGTACGTTTTAAGATCACTATACTTTAAGCTTCACTATATGGAACATTTACTGATTTAGTGCGGAATAAAAAAAATAAAATCAGAAGTAGAGATGACGGCTGCAACCATGTTTAATCCTATCCCGTCTGCAGCGGCCCTCTCTCTGCATAGCAGTTTGTGACGGACCGCTGGCTCTGATGGAGGTTTGATTGTTTTACTTATTTAAAACATTCATTATTATTCATTATTATTCCTCCACTAAATGAAAAAAGTCATCATTTATTATTATCTAGAGACTATTAATAACAGAAGGTGAAATGCAGCTCCAGACTAGCTTTGAATGCGGTGATGTCATCAGTACGCTGCTCCACCTCCTCTCTGTAGTCCAGGTCGTTGTCGTCTCTGATGAGGCCCACCACCGTGGTGTCGTCTGCAAACTTCACCATGTGATTGATGGTGGACCAATCACATCGATGATGTTCTTTGTGGTGTTGATGTCTTAAATGTATTTGTTGATGTAGGCTGAGACAGTCATGGTATAATCATCCATGTTTATCTTGTTATCATAGGTTGCTTCTTCTTTGAACATGTTCCAGTCAGAACATTTAAAACATTTTTGGAGTTTCTCCATGGCCCCCTCACACCACACTCTGATTTCTTAAACGGTTTGTTTAGCCCTGAATCGTTGGGGCCTGTATTCAGGAATTAGCATGATAGATAGGTGATCTGAGGACCCAAGTTTGGGGCGGGGAGTTGCTCTGAATGCATCTTTGATGTGATTGAGCCAGGTCAAAAGTGTAAAAGTTTCAAAGTCCACACATTGGGAGCACAGTCTTCAAGTTAACCCAGCCATGAAAAGATAAAGCGATAAAGTCGCAAGATAAAGTCAAGGCTTTTTGAAAGTGTCCACCATATTGGATCAGTCCATTTGCTGCACATGTTCAGAAAGGTCCAAACAGACAGCAGCAAACCATTTGAAAACAAACCATGCAAAGAGCAGTGTTGCTAACTTAGCGCTTTAGTCGCTATATTTAGCCACTTTTCAGACCCCTCTAGCACTTTGATTTCTAAAAAGCTCCTAGCGCCAAATCTAGCAAATTTTTCCTGCTACTGGAGACTTTGGAGACAACATCTAAAAGCAGCGAACTCTGCTCTCCAGAGCGAGTAGATTGGTAACCCCGCCTCCTGCTCTCCTCTATCTTGTCTGCTGTCATGATTCATGCAGCTATTATTTCACCTAAATGAAAAATGGAGAACAGATAAGCAGATCATGGCTTGTCTACAGTGAAAAGAAGGACTGGGTTATTTACTTTGGCCTTTTTGGAAACACAGGAAGGAGCAATCAGCTAAGTGAGCTTAGTGCTTGGAAAAAATCTTTCATTCCTTTAGAGACAGCATGAAAAGTCAGCTGAGTACAAAACATAGAGAGGAAAACAAGAAGAAAAGGGACAAGAAGAGAGGGACACAACCTAGAACAGATAATGGATGTCTATTCTATTAACATTTCTCATTCAGAGGGCCCCCTGCCTGTCTTTGCCTAGGGCCCAAAATTTCCGAAATCCGCCTCTGGCACTGAGATGAAGAGCAGAAAGAAAGTGTCTGATAGAGACGTTTCCTAATAGACCTGCAGGGAGATGCGGTTCTAAGCGGTAGGGATGAATATAAAATCCTTCCACACTTATCAGAGATTTCAAAAGATGTAAAACACCAACGTCTAGCCAGTTCTGAACTATGCAATACTTTGTGTTAATCTGTCCATAAAATGGAAAAACCTGTGGTTAAACCTGGCATGATGTAAATATGAGCCGCAGAGGCTAAAACAGTGACAAACCTCTCAGGTTTAAGAATCAGAATCAAGTTTTTTGCCATGTAGGTTTGCACTTTCAAGGAATTTGACATGGTGCTGATGGTGCAGGCAAATTAGATCCAGATAGTGTTTATCTGTTGGAGATTTCTAGTTTTCCTGACTGAGGCAACCGGACTTCCATGTTACTTTCTTGTCGATTAAACCATTGATTACCTGAGAGATTGACTGCTTGGGAAGGAAACAGGAAGTAACTGATGCCCCTGGTGGGAGTATACAGCATGTTCCACTCTGTTAAGTCACCAGTCAGATCATAAAGATACATAACATGTCATGGTTTGCTGTGAGAAAGACCCAGGGGCAAAGAGGTGAGAGTTTTGAGACTAAAAAAAGAAACAATCAACAGATAATGGATGAAATGGTGAAAATAACAGGCAGAGAAACAGAAGGTCAACAGAGGAAATGAAAAGGGCTTTAGACGAACCGACAGAGAATAAAGAGAACAAGTAAGCTTAAATACAGAGGCATGGGGGGCGAAATGACAAATAAACCAAAGTGCTGATCAGAGGAATTCCTGCAATTTACTCGTCAATCAGCAGGTGTTGCTACAAAGGAACTTCAGGTTAAAACAGTTAGAATGACACCAGAAGAAATAGAGTGTTAATATATGAAATGTTTTAGACGTTTATGTAGAAAATGTGAGCGAACACCCAGCTGGCTGCAGTAAAAGCTGAGCCCATAGCTATGTCTAGGAGAGTAACAGGACTAAACACTGAAAAACAGATGAAGTTCCCAAAAAGTTAAAAAACAATCCTCTTGAGTTGAGTTTTTCAGAGACTCCAGCATCGTATGGGATGGCGATTTTTTTGTGTTTAATCTTTTCACTGCAAAACAAACGCTAGAAACATCTCCATCCCAGATGTTGCTGGAGGCTCTGAAAATATCAAGAGGATTTTCTCCAAACACAAAATCCCAGAACATTTCAAACCAAACTCACCCTTAAACCGAGACTAGTGCGTCCCAAAGAGCGGAGTGGCGTCTGCAGTTCAATGCAGCGAGGAATCCTCAGATCTTTATATTGGAGAAACCAAACAACCTCTCCAACACAGAAGAGCGCCCTCCTCTGGACAAGACTCTGCGCTTTTGCTATTGTTAGCTGTCTACCGTTACCTGTCTATCGTTAGCTGTCTATCGTTAGCTGTCTGTCGTTAGTTGTTTGTCGTTAGCTGTCTACCGTTAGCTGTCTATCGTTAGCTGTCTACCGTTAGCTGTCAACCGTTAGCTGTCAACCATTATCTGTCTATTGTTAGCTGTCTGTCGTTAGCTGTCTACCGTTAGCTGTCAACCGTTAGCTGTCTATCGTTAGCTGTCTGTCGTTAGCTGTCTATCGTTAGTTGTCTACGTTGCCTGTCTATCGTTAAGCTGTCTAGTGTTAGCTGTCTATCGTTAGCTGTATACATTACCTATGTGTCGTTAGCTGTCTATCGTTAGCTGTCTATTGTTAGTTGTCTACGTTACCTGTCTATCGTTAGCTGTCTGTCGATGGCTGTCTAACATTAGCTGTCTGTTGTTAGCTGTCTACCATTAGCTGTCTGTCGTTAGCTGTCTACATTACCTGTCTATCGTTAAGCTGTCTAGTGTTAGCTGTCTATCGTTAGCTGTATACATTACCTATGTGTCGTTAGCTGTCTATTGTTAGCTGTCTATTGTTAGTTGTCTACGTTACCTGTCTATCGTGAGCTGTCTGTCGATAGCTGTCTACCATTAGCTGTCTGTTGTTAGCTGTCTACCATTAGCTGTCTGTTGTTAGCTGTCTACCATTAACTGTCTGTCGTTAGCTGTCTACGTTACCTGTCTATCATTAGGCTGTCTATCTTTAGATGTCGACCTTTAGATGTCTATCGTTACCTGTATGTCGTTAGCTGTCTATCGTTAGCTTTCTATCATTAGCTGTCTATCGTTAAGCTGTCTATTGTTAGCTGTCTATCGTTAGCTGTCTATTGCTAGCTTTCTACCGTTACCTGTCTATCATTAGCTGTCTATCGTTAGCTGTCTATTGTTAGCTGTCTATCGTTAGCTGTCTATCGTTAGCTGTCTATTGCTAGCTTTCTACCGTTACCTGTCTATCATTAGCTGTCTATCGTTAGCTGTCTATTGTTAGCTGTCTATCGTTAGCTGTCTATCGTTAGCTGTCTATCGTTAGCTGTCTATTGTTAGCTGTCTATTGTTAGCT